TCCTGCTCGTACATTAGAGTGTTGGACTACCTCAGCCAGAACGAAAAAAATCGGGTGTGAACCGGAGGCATACCAGTTGTTTTGACTGCAGTACCACCTTATCCACTGCTATGAGATGTTTTTGAAACACTAACATAAAAAAAATAAGTCTAAAACTGTGCTAGCTAATGGGCCACAGTAATGTGCTGCTCCACAGAGTATAAACCCCTGATACATTCCCAAGTTACTGTGGTATCACTTGCCAAACAGGCAGGGAATTCCCCTACTAAGTTCCCAGACAACAGCAAATAAATATTATAACATCAGCACAGCAGCACTACTTCAAATGGATGGCTCCAAGTCGCTCTGCTGACTTTGAAGTATAACTACATGAAAGCCTGGTTAATCTACTACATTGAAAAAAGAAATGAAGATGATGGATGCACAAAATACTAACATGTTGCATATTAGTATGTTAATATGTTGCATAAATATGATAAGGCATACTGAATATGAAGCCACATCCACTTTGTTTCATCACTGCTGTACCACAGCCCCTCCCATTCATGCGCCATCCAAATGCTCCTCCTACCTGGCCTTAAGGTCCTTGTGCTCCTCCTTGATCTTGCTCAGCTCAATCTGCAGACGTGCTCGCTCCTTGGCCACCTGGTCCAGGGTCTTGCGGGCATCGGCCAGCTCTGACTCATAAGCTGCCTTTATGCCTGACAGATCACGGGTGATCAAAGACTCCGATTCAGAGATGCGTAGCCGCAGCCCGGCGTTCTCCACCTCCAGCGAACGCACCTTGTCTATGTAGACAGCCAGCCGGTCATTGAGGTTGCACAGTTCCTCCTTCTCCTGCAGCCTGGTGATGCGGGTCGGGGAGGCAGTGGGACCACGGCTGGTGCGTTTCTGGCTTGGGGTTTCCATGACAATAATGGCTCAGCACAAGGTGCACGGGGGGTGAGTCACTGGCTGTGGGGGAGGAGGGAAATGGAAAAAGACTTAATGAGAACCACAGTATCTACCATACAGTATAACCAGCCTGTGTTTCTATGGCTGCCTTCCTTAGAAACGCAGTGCACCAAAGCACGTTAAACTTTAATAGAGTTTATAGTGACGAAATGTTCCAGCCTTGCATAACCCTAATCCTTGTCTGGGCAGCCTGCCTTCAGTGCTAGATCTGCTCACAGGTCTGCAAAATAATGTATTTGAGGATCCATTTCCACATTATTTAATACCCATCCTCTATTGTATTTAAATTGTGTAGGATAATTTCAAGAGGCAGAGTTTGTTCATAAGAATTCTATTCTGTTCCAAGTTCTGTTTTTCTTTTAGTCCTTTTGGATGCAAAAACTAATTTTATTATATTTAAAAAACGGTGCCAGCATTTTCCTGTATTTTTCCTGCTTTTAGTGCTTCTGATAACATCCCTTATCCACACCGGTATTTTCACTGCAAAGTGTAACACACTGTCATAACATCCGCCATGCTGTTCCCTCCTCCGGCTCCATTAACTTGTTGCAGGCGTAGTTAAGCCACTTGATGCAGCTCACACCTAAGCTATTTCCCTCGTACTCCAACCCCAACCTTCGGCTCACTTACAAGGCAATTAAACACTTTTATAATTAGGCTTAAAATATGCAGCTGCAACTGGGGACAGAAAAATAAATAAAAACATTTCCCTCCTCCTCCCCTCCCTAGAGTTTTTGCTAAAATGTAGGCAAGCCATTAAAAAAAAAAAGCTTCTAATTGCTTCCACTCATTTACTGTGCTCATTTATGGGATTCCTCTTCTCCATAACCAGAAGTGATCATAATACCAAAGGGTTGACTCATATTATAAACAAGCTGTATCATGCCCTGATAAGGACATCCATCCACTTTGTCATTGCTGGTTTGCCAACAGTCAAATAAATACAAGAAATCTGCATTAACGTTTCTGCCATTGGAAATATAATCTTGAATTTTCTTTTTAATTGATCAACATTTTTGACATTTTCATGAAATGCCTCCAACATTATAAATTTCAGCAAAATGTCAAGCTATAAATCTAATAACCCCTGAATCAAACCAAGCAATAATGTTTTTGTCTGCAATTAAGAAAGCCTTCAACAATATTAATAACTGTATCAGCACTGAGAGCATCATCTGTGGTAAAACAGATGTGACTTAAGAACTATTTTCTTCTACAGCTGCTGCCCCACTCATACACTAACAGGCCTTTCCCACAGAACGAAGAGAAAAGCCTTCTCCGGTTTGGCAAAGGAGTGGGTGGACGCACCAGACTCCATCCATCCCCTCACCGCCCATTACCGAGTGCACAGAAGGACATGCACGCCCATGTGGGTAGGCATGCGTGCACATCATGTGTGCACACGCCCACAGGACCAAACTCTTACACGCTCAAGTACTCTGAATAAATGAAGTATCCATTTAGGCTCCCAGAACAAGCCGATCATTAACAGCTGCTGTCTGATGTCCCACTCTAAAACAACACCAGGCATTAAAATGAGCTACAGCTTTTCAAGTTACAAAGTTAGTCCACACCACCCCTGTCAACATGAAACTAGCTATGAACTGACTGAACAAGTTAAACAGGCACTAAATTATGACCACATTCTTTACACAACAGCAGCGCCGCCTATACGGGATGACCAACAGAAAAAGTTCCACAGGCTGACTAAAGTCCGAGGAAACTGAACCTTACCTCAGCTGTGTGAAGGCCTCTAGACCGCAGTCTGCTGACGGGGCTAAGAGTGTGTGTACAGGACCTTTCTAGAAGTTTAGCTACTGGGTTGCGTGTATGTGAGCTGATGTGAGTGTGTGTGCTGTACCCTAAGGGGTGTAGAGAAGAGGATCCGATGAATAATGCAGTCTTGCTCTCTGCTGGTGGGTGTGTGCGCCTTTGGCTCGTGCCCTGAACTGCTATCCTAGCTGTCGCTCACTGCACACCTACCTATGCTGAAGAGGGAGAGAGGGGGCGTGAGCACAAGAGAGGGGAGGGTTGGGCTGTGAGGAGGAGCCAGGATAGACAGACTGTGTGTGTGCACAAAGCAGCTGCTGGGTTTTATGTCTCTCTCTGCACTGCCCATATCTTTTCCTCACTCATTTAACTCAGAGCCCTGCAGACTGACTGACCTCAGCGACTGCTGCAAGTGGTCTGTCAACAAAACACAGTGACGCTGAAGAACAGCTTTCAGGTGGATCAAAGCGTGTGAACGTGTGGATCTCACCCTCCTCTGAAGAAGAATATATTTTTAACCTACTTTTCTGGTTGAAAACGGCTGTGAAAGCCAATTCTAACGCAAATACAGATTTATGTTTCGTTTTTATCAAGCAAAAAAAAAAATAAAATCCTGACTGTAGAAAGGAACAGAGATGGCTCACACAAACATGACATAGCAAGGCAATAGAACATGTCTGAAGTACATACAAATCACTCATCAGCTGATGGCAGGGCTCTGCTGTTACCCAGGGCAGAAAAACAACCCACTGACAAGCTCGTCCACTGAATCCAAAACGCAAAAAGTCCACCAGTGTTTGACAGTATATTCCCAGTGAATAATTCCCACAAAAGTCATCTTGAAAGTCCAGAGGTCTGACATTCAAACCCAAGTAGATTCTGGTCTTATATTTATTTCCTCGGGGTGGAGTTAATGGAATCATAGGTCCAATCAAGTTCTGATGCAGGGGAAAAAGATGTTTTCTGTGTGCGTATGTGTCTCCTCACCATGGAAATGCAAGTTAGTCCATTTGTGTGTGTGTGTGTGTGTGTGTGTGTGTGCGTGTGTCTTTGCCTGCGCATGTGGTTAAACAAGGGGCAAGACAGCATCTCTGTTTTTGGGCATGGGGCAGGCCCAGTGCCTCCGGTGTGGCCTTCCAGTGGAAAGGAGATGTCAGCCTCTGAAGCTGCCTGTCTGAGTCACACTCCCTTTACAAACAGCTCACCCTCCTCCTGCTCTCCGCCTCACCTCCTCTCTCTCTTTCTTCGTCTCTCCATTTCAGGTTTTTCAGCCTGTTTCCGAATGCTGTACTGGCGCCCCACTCAAGGTTTCCTAAAAATCAGCTAGTCTCTTCTTTTGCACAAACAATGAAATCTTATTATAAATGCTATCACATATGAGATATGATGCAAGCTAGATCCTGAAGCAGAAAAGGGATGTTTCTGCCATAAATTACAGGTTGATGATCAATAACGAATTCATTGTTTCAGAACTCTTTACATACTGGTATTTGAAGACAAGCCTAAATCCCTTATTACTTCTATGAGCAAGGGACTAGTAGGGGTAAATATTTTGTTTCTAGATTATCTAAATGCTGCTTTAAATAATGAGATGCAGAAATTTTTAAATGTTCACAATCACTTTTCAACCATCAACAAGCTGCTACTGACATATTCCAGTAGCCTGTCTGACTTACAGCAGGAGTCTGAACCCCTCATCAAGTTCAGTGACAGGAACAGGCACGACAGGATTTGATGCAACACACCAAGACAAGAACTAAACGATGCATTAGCAAGCGGGTTTCTTATTGTCTGCGTCTCATTCGTCGACGCTCTCGCTCTGCTTTCATAGCATTCCAAGTGTGCAGCAAAAAACACAAGGTGTGCCCGCTGCACAGAATAAAGGTTGAATTTCTCCATCATGAGCCATTTACTTGTTGCTCTCCTTGGAGAAAAGAGCAATGAGCATGATAATATTTGGTGTAAGAAGGAAATTTTTATCTTTTTTTAAAGCCAAGAAGGCAACTATAAACAGTGCCTACCGCACCAAGGCACCTATTCCTGTTTCAAAAGCTGAGGAACAGCTCACACATGCATTGAAAAAAGTGCTTCTCCTTTTCATCCTACTCCCTTATCACCTTTTCTTCTTCCTGCACAGACGTACAGTATTATCTCATGTTGAGATCATTTCTCAGATAATGTCACAATACAACAACTAATTTAGATGATTTAACAGCTCACAGGAGCATTAATCTTTCATCAGACAAACTACACATTAACTGTCTTTGAATTAGCTCAGTACCTCAGCAGCAGCTCTGATTCAAAAGGGCTTCCGACTGCGTTATCTCAAGCTTTGTTCACATGTTCTTTAACCATTAACCAAAAGTGATATCATATCTTGGTCCAATCTATAAGATTTTGATATGATATAAACAGAAACTACATGTTCTGTTTTTCTTTCTTAGTTTGATACTCTGTCCATTTCTACATGCATATCGTGTAATGTAATGTCAAATAACTGTTGCTTTGTGAGCCTTTGTTTTGTTTACCATGCAAATTATTCTCTAAATTACCAAAACAGGCTTTAATCTTATGTAAATTCATTTATTTTGTTCCTCATAAAGTGCTTGTAACGTGGAACTGCATTTCTGGGACAAGCAAAACAATCTGTTATCTTTACTGAGAGACTGGGTGTGTCTGCACAGATAAACCATGAGGGAGCATCAGAAGCTTGTCTCATTGCTTCAATCAGCAACATGAGGAAGTAACTCTCCCAGGGGGAAACTGAGGAAAATGTAGAGGGGACAGAATACCCACATCAAAACTGAATAATCTTCAACTACTATGGGTTCCATCTTTTTGTCAGTGTATCATCCACTCTGTTTTTACTGCTGTACAAAGTAAAAGTGTCTTTACTCTACTTAAGTACAATTCTGAGGCACTTTTAGGAAGAATTACAGTGGCTAAGTCTTTTTTAAAGACATACTTGAAAAACATCCTATAATTTAATTTAACATGTCATTTTGTTTTACTGAGAGAACTCAGAGGTGCCACTACACTCGGATATAACAAAAGTGTTTAATATTTTGTAATTCTAAATATTTTAGGGCTCTGACTAATTTTCATCATTTATTTTTGTCTATAAAACGTGAAAAATGCCAATTTCCCACAGTCCACGGCGATTTACTTACAACCCCAAAATATAACATTCATTACCATGTATAACAAAAGAAAAAAGTATCAAGCCATGGGACTTCTGAGAAGCTGGCATGTTTGGTATTTCTTCACAGTGATGAAGTGATTGTTACAACCCTAAAATATTTAAATATGTAATCACAGTGTACATTATCTAATCTAATATACACCAAGTACAGACTACTCATTTAAAGGAGTAGACAAAAGAAATCAAAAGCCCCTGAGTGTCATGTGATACAGTTCATCAGCACCACAAACTAAACCCTCCAACTGAGCATTTTAAAAGCCTGTTCATTGTAACATTCATGAAGGCTGGATTTATTGCATTAAATTGAGCTCGGGTGTACCTAATAAACTGGCTACCCCTATAGTCCCCGTGTTTTCCTCATGAATGGTGCTGCAGCTGTCACACTGCGTCGCTCTGGCGCCCCCTGTCTGCTCGGCCGCACAGAGCATCACCTCAGCTCATTCACCAGCACAGGACAGAAACGAAGCGACACCCACCGGCTGGCACACTGAATGAAAACTCACGGGTGAACTCTTTCAACGTGGTTGACTGAGGTCAACAACTGGTTCGGGGCCGTGCCTGCATCAAATAAGCACCATAAACAAATGTGTACTAGTTAAAAAAAGACGACTTTTTACTCCAGCAGTCTAAACCGTCTTCTTACCTTTTCAATTTGGAAAGAATGAAGCTTGTCTGCGGTTGTTTCGAACACCTCTCCTCTTTTCACAGCCACCTTTGACCTTTCCAAATGTCGACAGTCCACTTAAGTATTGTATTATCCACTAGGCCAAGTTATGTGTGAACCAAATCGGTGAGGGCTGAACTCCACCGCGCCGAGGTAGCAGCCAACAGACACCTGCGAATTAACACACTTGATTGGGCTGCCAATCTGTGCTAATTACTGTGCAGCCTACAGGCGCCACCTGGCGGCCGTGTCTAACACTTTGCTCAGTATGGTACTGAGATTATGTTTAGTTGGTGAGGATTGGATGGATGGATGGATGGATGGAGGGAAGGATGGATGGATGGATGGATACAGGAAGGTGAGGTAAAATGTTCCTTGTAGTAAAAGATACAATAATTTTAAATAAATTTACACAGATCCTAACAGAGGTGTAATGTAATTACATTACACTGTAGGTATGCTACAGTTACTCACTTGTTTTACCTTTTACTCCACAGTTATTCTCCACTGTGTGTCAGAATAATAAACTGTACATTTTGCTAGTTACTGTACAAAATACGATTTTACACACAAAAATACATTGCTGTTTTCTTCCTACTACTTAATAGTATTTATAGCTTCACTTTGAACAGCTTCCACAGTTAAACCCAAAGTTTCAATAATAATGATCAGTGGTGGAAGAAATAATCAGGTTATACTTCAGTAAAAGCAGCAACAACACAGTGTATAAATAACCTGTTAGAAGTTAAAGTCCTTCATTTCAAAACATAGTCATTTAAAAGTACATTGGTATTAGAATCAGAATCAGCTTTATTGGCCAGGCGTGACGGACACATGAGGAATTTGACTCAGGTACATCGGCTCTCAATGTGCAAACAGTAAACCAGCATAAGGCTGTGTAATATAACAAATTAGCAGTATTAACATCAACAAACAGTGCAAACAATGCAGAAGCAGTATAAACAAACTACAAACATATAGTAAACAGTACATCAAAATGTACTAAAAGTACCATACCAAAAGTAAAAGTATCATTTTACAGAATGGCCCATTTCATGCAGGTATATGATATATTATTGTATTGCATGAAGTTATACAACAACAAGGGGCAGTATTTGCCTTCAAAATGGAGTATAAAGTTGTATGAAATGGAAATACTCAAGTACAGCTACCTTTAAACTGTGTTCAGTTACAGAACCTGAGTAAATTTCTTGCTTTCCACCAGTGATAATAATTCAAGTGATAATTTATAACAGTGTAACATTCAACTTTAGCATAACAATACATTTTAATTTTGATACTTCAGGTCAGGTTTTGCTAATGTTACTTACTTTTGAATTATTTAAGAAATATTGGACTTGCAAAGAACCGTCTGCACGGTGGTAATGCTAATCTTACTTAAGTAAAGGGTCTGAAAACTTCCTCCACCACTACCAGTTTCATTGTTTGTCTTCTTTGCCTGAGAAAAATGTTACTTCACATCACAATTCAGATACCTATTGTAACACCACTTGTCTGTCATTAGCTTGAAATGAATGAAACAACCGTGTTATTAATTTCATGCTGCGCCCCCTGGAGGGCCCTCAGGGGCCCCTGTGACTCCAAGGACCCACACTGGCAGTGATTGATATACTGACCTGTGCTAGGTTTCACATGAATTGATAATTTAATTAAAGTGGCAGCCAGGGAGCATCATACAAATATTCCTCAAGGCCACTATACCAGCACGACTGCCACTATCGAGCTGTACAGATGGCCCAGTTGAATGGCGCAGTCAGTTTAATTCCCTGTGATCCCAAACTCATTCTACATACAAACAAAAACACAAATTAAAAACAACTGATGTGTGCTGCTCGAGATATTTTACAGAGCACTTGGTGGGTATGCTTATCATTATGTAACAGCTGAAGATGAATTTTACATGACCTACATTACTGAGCAGTAAATGGTTTGTTTACATTCATAATGTTCATAAATGATGGAACAGTACTGCGGGTCAACTTGGAGGCATCATGCCTCTGAAGAAACATGGTCTGAGAATGTACTCACGCTTACTGTGATCATAGCCTACTCTGGTACCAATACTACACCTTCAGGGAAGTATTAGTCTGTTTCTCTGAAACATGGAAGTGTACTGACACTTTGGTACAAAGCAGTAACCCCCAAAATATCCCCAAATCACCTTAAGAACCAAGGGTGTACCTTTCAGGACACATGGTTCACCCCAACATAGAAACATCTAAATATGCTTTATTGATTGTTTGTTTATTATTTATTGTTTTTTTTTATTATTATTTAATCTTTGTTTTGCCATGAAAACCACACTGTGAATAAGAATCAGTATTAGAGTGTCCCGTTTGTCCAAAAGACCAATCTACAAACCCCTCTGGATGATACACAGTCACATAAAACCGTTAAAATCACAAATCACAAACAATAAATAACAGTAGCAACATAAAAATATTCAAATACACATAAAAGTGCTGCATTCAAAATTAAACAAAATGTACTTAGAGTGCCCAAAGTAAAAGCACTCACTGTGCTAAATGGACCCCTTCAAACAGAGGTGGGATTATCATTCTTTATTTGACTAAAAGTAGAAACACCACAGTGTTAAAATTATTATTGGATCATTATTATTAATGCATTTAATGCTATAGCCGGTTAGATGGGGCTGTTAAATTGTACTTTGATTTAACTTGTAACTACTACTATTACATGTTAAATAACTGTAGTAAGATATGATGCAAAATAGGTAATTCTGAAATTTTATGGCATAGTATAAAGAATCATACAATAGTCAAGTGAAGGTTTAGTTTTTCCATTGCAGCTCTGTCCGGTTTATTTCAGACAGTTGCACCATGATACCGCCGGCTACTCTTGAATGCAGCATTCCATGACAGGTTAGATTTCTGCTCCAAAATGTGTGTGTGGGGGGGGGGACTGTCTTTGACTTCACAAAACAGGCAATTTTATTACTAAGCTGATCATGTTTTCATGTAAACATTTGATCTGCTTAGATAAATCTACTAGTAGTATATTAAAAAGCTGATTGTTTCCCTCTGAAATGTAATAGAGAAGAATGATAAAATAGTAATGGAAAAAGTATTCAAATCTTTTACTTAAGTAAAATTAGAAATACCACAATGTAAATTATACTCTGCTAGAAATAAAAGTTCTGCATTCAGATTTTTATAATGCAGAAGTATTATCACCAAAACATCCTTTAAGTATCAAATGCGGAAGGACTCATTATTCAGAATGGCACCTTCCAGAGTGTTATATTTTGTTTCACTGTTACATATGCATTAATGTGTAAACAAGATTTTAATCTTGTAAATGCTAAAAGTATAAATCATTTTAACCAGGTAATAATACACTGTTGTGCTGTTGCATTATATTTCTTGAACTGATCCGATGTGTTGTCTACTGTATAACATATGAGAAGCTTTACAAATACTTAAGTAAAGTACACATACCTCAGATTTGTACTGAAGTAGTGTAACTGAATAATGGCACTTGGTCCATCAGTGGTGTGACGCACTGCACCATAAAATGTAAATATTCAAGTAAAGCAAAATTACCAGAAAGTGCACATAAGTGCAGTACATGAAAAGAAATGTATTTAGTCATTTTAAATCTGTGATGATACATGTCTGAAATGACCTGCTTATCTGTTTGGGATTTTATCATTGATATAATAAGGGGAGCTTCATCTTGTGCTGGATTTCTTTCTAAGAAACCATCAAAATTTAGCAACAACATTTCTTAATTGAAATATGGCCCGGTTAGTCATTCTACACCATGATATTGATCCTATGACCCAATCCTTCTGCAATTTCAAAGCTCTCTTTGATTTTGTACAGTAAATACAATATCTGAATCAACTGCCTGGCACATTGACTATGAATGCCAAGAATAAAGTGAAGGCCAAGCAGGACTCCTGAGTTCAAGGCTCTGAGATGCTTGAGATCACCACTATCTGGGAAGCAAGCGATGAGGTGAGCCTTACTCATCACTAGGTGTGTCACTGGCTGTACAGTATCAATGTGATCAGAGAGTCAGATGGGGTGGGGGGTGGTAATAAGAAAAGTGAGAGAGAGAGATGACCTAATGCCCGTAAAAAGCAATGAAGTCATACTACCTGACTCATATTCCCAGCTGGAATCAGCTCTCCCAATCACAACATCCCAGTATGTGTGTGTGTGTTTGTTGTCAGAGGGTGAGGTGTGAGTGTATGGGCAACAGCGTCATGTGCATGTGTGCTTCACAGCAGGTAAGAAGAGGCTGAGTGTTTGTGGGGTTATGGAAAAAGTGTCGAGATGTTCGTCAGCCCCAGAGGATTTTCTACAGGCGCGTTCACATACGCAGTAGGGCTGAAGCAATTAGCTAATTAATCAGAAAAGTCATGAATAATGATTTTAGTAATTGATTATTCATGTACTGAGCAAATTTGACAAACATTCTCTGGTTTCAGATTTTCAAATGTGAGGATTAGCTGTTTATTTCTGTTTGATATCATTTTAATGGAATCTTTCTGGGTTCTGACCAAAACATTTTCACCATTTTGCCACATTTTATAAAAAAAAAAGATTACTCATTAATGCAAAAATCCACCCAAACTTAAAGATAAGACAACACTTTCACACTCTCACTCATACAGAGAAAAACAAGTTGAGCGTACTTGTGGGTCACACTGCTCACAAAGCAAATCCCCATGCACTGTAAAGAGTGAATGATTATACCCAATAGGACCGGCTCCGGTGTGGAATAAAAACCTAGGTTTTAATTAAATTACATTTAAGTTAAACTAATTCCAAGTGGAAAGTTTAACTCATAGGCTTTGCTTGAAATCATCAGCAATAATTCATTCAATGTCAAGTCATGTCTTATATTATTCAAAGAAAGGGCAGCTTTAAATTTGTGCGTATAGCATACACAGTGAGCATAATTTTCTGGTAATAAAAGTGAGACTTACTGTTGTGTTTTTTGCTGACTTACCCTAAGGTTGGAACAGAGTTTGGCAGAAAAATGCCTCATTATCCGGGTCCCTGCATAATGGCTAAACCTGCAGAAAAGCCTAAACAACATTAGACATGAGGTTAAAGAAACAGCTGCTTTAAGTATGATGAAGTTTTTATTATTATATACTGCTATAATTGTACACCACCACTACCTCTTCAAGCCCCCTAAACTATTGTTCTGTTTTTTTGTTGCACTGTATCATCATTATGTGCAGCCAGTCTGCTGCTGCCTAGGCCCATCCTCCCTTGAAAGAAATATCTCAACTGTGAATTTTTTTTTACAACAAATAAAAGCCCAAAAAAAAAACCCAATAAACTAATAAAAGTAAAAGAAAAAGAATACAGGCAGAAAAAGCCCCGCCCACAAAGTGACCTCTACATGTATGGTTTCATTTGTTCAGCTGATCAACTGGGCTCTTGTCAGTGTATGAGCACAAGATGTGGTATCATTTGCATGAGGTCTTACATCATCTCTGAGAGCCCGCTCACTATGGCATCAGCACGTGGTGCTTAGCTAACATGTCCCTTTGTGCTCGCAGAAGCCTCATTCAAGGGACAGCAGGGCACCAGAAAAGTCTTGAAAAGGACATCTGGCCATGGAAGTCAAAGGGATGTCCTTTAGGGATTCCCAGACGTGTCTTTACAGCCTATTAATCCTGTTGTCTTTGAAAGACGGATACTGTCCATATACGTGAAAGCAATATTTGCATGGGCTCTTGGACAAAGGGGTTGGTGTGTCTCTGCAGCACAGTAAACCACAGCGTCTCCCCAAAGATGCCAATCAGCCTTTCATCAGGGGAAAACCAGACAAACAGCACTGTGACGAACAGATGGTCATGATCATTGAGTTTTTCATGTGCAAGTAACATGACCTCAGCACTCTAGGGTTCACAAGTATCCTGTAGCAAACACGTGCACACAGAAACACAAGTGTACAAATGACGATTGTAGCCCAAAGCTAGCACAGTCTGAATAAAAATCAGGCCTGCTGCGGTTCAATCAGAGCCAGAGAAGGTTAAGTTCAGGGTCACAAAGGTTATGTGGCACAGCAGCATCACAAAGCAGGTCTCCAACGGGCCACACCAAAGTCACAGTTCCACGCACAGAGGGATGCATGAAAGGAGGAAACACGATCCCAGATCCAGGCTTATTATTGATTGGGGCTCTGGACTCCCAGTGGACCCCTTAATGGAGCCAGACGACCTCTTGAACACACTGGCAAACTCTGTGCACCGCTGAGGGGTTGGTCCTTGTTTGGCTCTTTTCCTCATCAGAACCATGCCCTCACCCAATCCTCTGACCACTCCACTAGGTGAGGTGGGGATTGGGGGCAGACCCCCTGGGTCCACCCTCTGGTCCTTCATGCATCACGTCATCCTACTCTCCTCCTGCTGTTGTTGTTTTCCTTTTTAATTCATGTTATTGGACAGAGTGGGGGACGTTTTAATCCCGGCCTCATACCAGGAGTCTCCCTGAGAGTTCTCATCTGCAACACACCCTTGGGGAATGAACCCCTTCCTGATTGGCACCCAGAGAGCATGTCTAGACTATGATTATGCATGTAAATATACCTGCTCTATCTTTCTGGTACCATTTTATCACAACATTTATATTGTTCCTATTTTTGACCCTGATGTTTGGAAGTTCATGATGACATTGCTGCTTCAGTCGGTGTTATTAAAAAGCAGAAGGCATTCTCACTAGAAATGCTAAAATATTCATGCTGAATCTCTGTAAGAGTCACATGCCATGCTCAGTCTGTCATGAAAGCCCAAATGGAAGCTTGTTTGTGCTTTTGTTGCTGTTAATACAGTTGTAACCCAGTTACAGTGTGGGGAAACTGCATGCTGTATGACGGAGAATAATACATTGAATGTAATGGATGGGGTTAAACACACACAAATGTCTGCAGAGTTAATTCAACACCTCCCTTGTGAACACTAAGCACACACACTGACTGATTTCACTGACATTTACTCTAACAGCAACTTAAACATCGGTGGACATTAAGCCCAGTGTATTGCTAAACACATGTAGGATATCTTTATTTTCATGTGGGGTAGAGAAATAATGTGGGTGGTGAAGCAGTGGAGCATCTGATGTTTTCCCAGAGTAAACATCCCCCCCAGTTTGCCTTGTCATTCAGGTAGCCTTACACAACACATACTCCCTGTACATCCCAGACACTTTGAGGAAGCTGAAAACATGGACATCAGTTGTTGCTCAGCAATAGGCCCACACCTCAGGCAATATTTCCTAAAGCTGTATTTCTTATGATGACCCAAGTGTAATAACTTACAACTCCACAGTAAAATAATTATGGCACATTAGAAATCTCCCCGTGTTGATCTTATTTATTTATTGAAGTGTAATGTAACTTTCCAGGTTTTAATGACGACTGATTTAAGTTGCAGACGCGTTATCTGTTCGCAACCGAAAAAAATCTACAAAATGGGAAACTGTCTGATGTTGTGTTTGTTTTAATATAATCCCGCTTAATAGTATTATACTAACTGCAGTTTGAGTCTTTGTGATATACTACAACCATGCCGTCAGGCGTGGCTTCTGTCGAGGACATCTTGGGGAGTCCACACGCGAAACGAACGGCGCGGTTCTTTGTTCACCGGGGCTGCTGCAAAGCCCCTTTTTATAGGAAATGTGCGAGGGCTCTTCTGATGTTTCCCCCGCTGCATATGGTCTGCAACGCCTGACAGACGACTCCCTTTCTCTTCTCCTTCTCGTATACAGCCCCACCTCCCCCCAGACACCCTATTTCCCTCCTATACACAACATCTTCATGCGCAACGGCGCCGGAGACAACAACGCGGTGACCTGCCGCAAAGCACGGCAACACAGAAGTGGGCGGACCCCCCAAAATGTCACAAACTCCTTTACTCTCAAAATTCATGGCAGATGCTCCGCGATTCCCCTCATAATTTACAGGAACTGCTTGGTTTTGTCTCTTAAAGCTGACGCTGACATCATCTTTTAGGCTGATGACCATGTGCGCACTGTACTTGCACCTTTTCAAAGCAAACTGTTTACATCCTGGATGCTGTTCTTACATAAGTCGCCAAAATGCGGGTTTCAGGCTTCACTGCAGCTCTTGAGCTGTGAACAAGTCTGCGTTGATAGGATGCGGTGCAGGAGGTAGGCTAAATGATGAGGTATTCTTCCTTTCTATAGGTGACCTAGGCTGCTTGATGTGAGTTGCCACAGGCTCGGGAACTTGAGACGGAATGGTACAACGGGAGGGCGGCTCGTTTTGTCTCGTCGAGGAGGAGAGCTGTGTAAACCAGACTGGGTGGAGCAACACATCGCCCAGCCCTATCTATCGTGCAGGCGGCCTGGTCCCGTTTGCTTGGAGCTCGGAGAGAGACTACAGTAGCCTACTGAAAGTCTGGCGGATAGAGAGAGAGAGGGGGCCGGTCTATGGGAGGGACTAGCGCAAAGGGGGGAATTGGAAGGAGGAGGGGTGAGGAGGAGGCGGCACGGGTGCTGTTTCTCCAGTCTCTTTCCCCTGTCTTTGTCTCACACACTCTTTTGTTAGCCATGCCTAGCCTGCTGGTTCTAGCAGGGATCATGGAGAAAAATGGGGGCTACGGCGGGGGTCTGACCGGCTCCGGCTTCGGAACTGATGGTCTCCTTGTGCCGCCCGATGAGGAGGAAGACGACTCTCGTGCCCTCAGGGTCGCGCTGGGCCAGTTGTCTCTACTGGGGCTCGGAGAAGGCGAGGACGGCGGCGGAGCCCCAACAACAGGAGTACAGGACCGGAGTAACAATAACAACAACCACCACAACCACACGAACAGCGTCGGGGGTGGCGGGGACACGGCGATTCTGCAAGGGAAAAGCAAGTTGTGCGCCCTGTATGAGAGCTCCTCAAGTGAGACGAAAGGACGAGGCTGCAACATAACAGAATGCGTTCCAGTGCCCAGCTCTGAACATGTGGCCGAAATAGTGGGGAGACAAGGTAAACCGCTGGCTTGTAAATTATTTCCCTTGCAAACTTGTGTTTTTATCCCACTAACCGCGTGCATCATCCCCGCCGTGGTTTTCCGTGTGCTTTGTTTTTTGTTCTCTAACTGTTACCTGCTGTTATTTAACAAAGAAAAGGGAGTGGTGTGTGTGCTCGCGTGTTTTTGTACTCCTCCGAGACATAAGCCTCCCACTTTTTCTGCTACAACGTTGCAAGTTCTCATGCACTCGCATTGAAACGTGTCCTTTGCTGCTTTGCGTGTATTTTTTTTTATTTATTTTTTGCTTTTGGTTGATTTCGCAAAGAGGCACGAGAAAGCCCCGTTCTCTGCTCGGCGAATTATTCTACATCCACGCCATCAATGTCAGCGCACAGACACTGGAGCAGGGAGAGCACTTGCTTCCTTTGTCGTCTGAGACGCGCCAGACTGTTCAAAAAGGCAACGTGCGGCTGGCGAAGGCAGGGAAGTGTTTCACTTCGGATCGATTGTTAAGAAAATAACCAGAATTAGACATTTGGTCGCAATGATGGCATCCGATCCGCCTTATTCCAAATGTATTCAGCTCATTGTTTATGTTGCGCACTGCCCCAGTGACACAATTGGACAATAGAGCAAGCGTGGTCCCCTTGTTTTTTTTTTTTCAACGAGGGAGTTGGAAAGTTCAATTCCAGGCACATATCAGGTTCAGTCCGTCTCTCTTACACTCGGAGGTGTTTTATTGGACAAAGACCTGAAGTTGAATGACAGCAGCTGTCAAACAAAGGTGTGAAAGTCGGGGGATGAGGGGAGGGGCGCATTAAGACAGTGTTGCTGCTTGGCACACGGGATAGTCTTGAAGTGTGACTCAGCGAGAAGTTGCACCAGGAGGTGGGAATCCTTTTTTAAAAACAGAATAGTCTGTTGTTTGTGCTTATTTGCAGTAAAGCTGTTGTCAGGGGATTTTTCACTTTATCGGAGTTAATGTTTTTGTACAATCCATCTACGGACAAGCTTGAACCCAAGTTGCTTTTGAAGTAGGGAACCCAGGAGCAGATTTTCTCCCTCGTCTTTCTTCTGCTTGCGATGGTGCTATGTGGCTGCAACCCACTGTCAACTGATGCGATGAACCCATGGGTGAGCGGGGCAGAGGAAATTTAAAGTATAGCATCTAAAAGCTGAATGGGAGTCACGCCTTGGAGCTCAACCCAGGGGGCTCCTCATGAGCCCCACTTCGCTGCACACTCTCAATACCACATGGTGGCCTGTCAGGAGAGGGAGAAATAGAGGGCTGGGCAGAGAGAGAAGTACAAAGACTGCAGGGTGGGTGAGGTAACCGTCAGCAAATCCTGATTTATCTTGCAACACAAACAAACAGGTTTGGAATAATGTCACAGGGTGTAGAGGCGTTTAGATGGCTTTTTTATTGGTAGTCTGTTAATGTGGATTTAGTTTGTCACACTAAGTGCCCCTTGTCTCCTGTTGCGGCCCCTGTTCTTTACTTTGAAGGGTAAGTTTTGAATTTTAATTGGGTAACTGAAGACAGTTGTAGGGTGGATCCAGTGAGCACAAGTGCAGCGTGAGGGCCCTTTTGCCTTGACTGAGAAGAAGTGCTGATTTGTTGGGATTTGAGAAGAGCTACTTTTGATTCCAGCCCTTCATTATTTGGAAGTACATACGGGCCCGTTCCTCTCAGCACGGTGCATCACAGTCTGCCTGGTGAATTTGGCAAATGGAGCATGCTGCCATGAAGGAAGGGTTGGATATGATCATTTTCTCCTGTCAGAGTCACGGGTATTGATTCTTGAGGGTGTTCTCA